GACAGCAACCTGGCTCCCGGCTCAAAAAGGTTGCCTACCCCTGATTTATACCTTGGCTTTTCCCCAACAGTGGGACTCAAGGCAGCTTACACCCATTATTAAAACGAGTACACATTAAAAAATACAAAAATATAAGTTAATATTGGACTCCAGTTCTTCATCTGATTGAGACTTGGTCATTCTTTCTGAAGCCTCGCCTGAATTGTGGACTGGATGCCCATCCAGATTGCGTCCAACTGTGCACATCCAATTGTGGACATCTCGCTTCTCATGCATTTCCTAATAAATAGTGGCATACACACAAATGCTAGGTAGGATTGCTAGATTTCTCTTTCTGCCTGCCTGCTGCCTATCTATCCATGTTTAAAAACACAATTAAACAATTTATAAAGTTAAAACCATTTAAAATCCATTAAAAGACAGAATATAAGAAGTAAGCAAAACAGTACACCATTAAATTGGTGTTAGTGTCTAAATGCCTGATGTAAAAGGAAAGTCTTCACTTGCCAATGGAAGGAGAGCAAAGGAGGAGCCATCCTAACTGCCTAGGAGGGGATTCCAAAATTTGGGAGCTGGCACTGAGAAACCTGGGAAGATCATAGAGCTTGGGCAGGTCAGCTCAGAAGCATATAAGTTGTCGGTGCAAATCATGGAGGACAGCTACTGTAAATAAAATCCTGCAAAGGGATCTTGAAGCACCTTTGACACAGGGTGCATCCGCACTACAGAAATAATCCAGTTTCCCACCACTTTAACTTCCATAGCTCGGTGCTATGGAATCCTGGGATCTGTAGTTTGTTGTGGCACCAGGGCTTTCTGACAGAGCTAATGCAGTTAAAGTGGTATCAATCTGGATCATTTCAGGAGTGTGGACACAGCCTAATTGGGTGAAACTGTAACTTTGGTAGACACGATCTACTTCCCCAGATGCTGATATTGTCAAAGGTGTGCTGCAAGATCCCTGTGCATACTCATATTCCAGACTAACATGGCAGTGTCTCTGAATTGTACCCATATAGGACCCTGTTGGCAGTTGCACTGTTCTTCAATTGCAAAATGGTAAATTAAAAGAGAGAGAGAGAGAGAGAGAGGAAAACCCTTTTTGTTCCTTCCTCTCTCTGTGTAACTGGAATGTAAAAGGAACATCCCAGGCCCTTGGCCCACCTTCCAGATTAAATGTGTCTGTTACCATTCTACTGAACTAGCGTGAAATGCCAGGACCAGGGTGCTGTCCAGGTTTTAGCGACAGGTTGCTAGAATTCTGCAAATTGCTTCCATCAGTAGCCAACTCTTTCTTCCTTTCTGTTTTAAGCCATCAAAAAGGCTTATTTACTCCCTGCCAGTTCCAGAAAGGTTTCTGAAAAGCTGCCTCTCCATTCCCTGCGATTGCATCCCAACAGCTGGGCAGCAAAAGAATCTGTCAGGGAAGAAGCAACCCTCAGCCCTACGTCAATCCAACCAGTTAAACCTGTAACTGGGAGAGTCTTCTACCTGGTGCATCTCAGCAAGAGTCTCTCTGTGTGTGACCTTTG